TTTTATTAGAAAGTAAAAATTACTTATATTTATAACTACACTCTAGGTATAATAAAATGAATTAAGATTTCTGCCAAATGTTCTTACTTAACATTTTTCTAGCTTTAGCAATGGCAACATGTTACTTTCACATTTAAAAAAAATCTTAATAATAGCACGTGGCAAATTTGTGGAATACTTAATATCTTCATTTTATAGTTTAGTAAATTCAGGTTAAACCAAGATCAAATTAACCAGAATTAAGATTAGGACCCAAATTTTCTGACTTCTGGCCTAAGCTGTTTTTTCATTTCCCTGCATATGGCTATCTCCCACAAATTACATACTCTCTTAAATCTTCTGATATGTTTTCTAAAACTTCAGGGTTTACTTCTGAGGATTATAATACAGCATTTCATATACTGAGATTAGAATATAGCATTAGAAGCTCAGTAAAATTCATCTTCAGAAAAGGTGAAGTTTAAGATAATGATAACTGTATCTCTACTGTGGGTTAAAATAAAGAAGAAACTTTACTCTTGCAGAGAGGATGAAACTTGCAAAAATAAAATTTTGGTCTATCACAAAATACATGCCAATTTGTATATTGCAGAGGGATTCTCCATACTATTTCATTTTAAAATCAACCCTTCACTGTTTTTTTTTTCATTTTAAAATGGATTCTAATTACTAAACTATAATCCAAAGTAATTCTGCATTACTTTTTCAGTGACTTAAAAACTAAGGTGTATGTTATTCCTACGCCAAATAAAAAATGTTTTGCAGAAAGATATTTCGCTGTATATTTTATATCAGATTTTAAGAAAACAAATCTTACATGTAAATATATCTCAAGTCAAAGTCCTCTAAATGCATTTTAAAATTGTGTAAATGCAGTTAAGACTAAAACAGCATTACAGCATATTGCTCCATGAGTCAGTATTGTACTATGAAATTGCAAGCAACGACATACATGCCTGTTGCTTTACCCAGCACAGCTGACCAAAATATATGTCAGAGGGGCGTTTTACAGCTGACTTCATTATAATGTCTGGTGACCACCATCAGTCATAGAGACCATAGGACAGAATTCGTCTCTTTCTTCCTCTGAATTATCAATTGTTGTGAAACAGTGGCTGCAAGTCTGTGGCTGAAATTTTATGATGTATCCCAGACTTTAAATCCCACAGCGAGGACTGTAGACCGATGCGTATATTGAATTCACACTACAGCAAGTCAAGTGCAGCGCCAATGACAAAATGCGAACGCTCCAGCCGCAAATTACACAATAAAGGAAAACAAGGACATTGGAAAATGTGATCAAATGATAATATTTGCCTAATGCGCAAAAACTTAAACCTTCGTCCTTTTCTGCTTTACACTGTGCTACTGCCCGGTTTGCCGTTGCGTATTTTGGGAGATAATACAATGGAAAATTCAAAGGTGTGATTAGTCTTGGAAATAATAGCTTCAATATATATAAATATTTAACCACTTCCAGGCCACACAGAAGGAAGATGCTTAGGTGGACCCCTGCCGTAGAGTTGGCCAGCCACCTTGAAGGAGAAAAGAACAAATGATGCCCTAACTTTCAGGTTTGGGAAAATCTACTTTCGCTCTTACAAAAAGATGAAGGTGTAGCTGCGGCGGCAAGGCCCACGGCGAGAACGAGGGCGGCTTCGTGCTCGGCGCCTTGAGGATCTTCGAGGCTGCCAGAAGCCCTGAGCTTGCAGTTGCACCTAAATCACAGCTTTCGCTACTCTCATATTTGGGGTGATGGTGGAAAGGGGACCATCATCAATAAGAGAATCTGAGAGGCATTCTCTCTCCTTGCACTGTGTCCCAGCTCTTCTTCCAATTTCCATCCCCCTTCCTCCATGCAGCTCCCTGGCCCAGGGCTCGCCTTCTCTTCCCTACCTGGGGCACAGTGGGTTGGGCACCTAGGCTCGCCTCCCTTCACCCCTACGTCCCGCGGCGAGCGCAGCCTCTCCAGCGCTGGCCTCGGACGGTGAACATGTGCCTGGATTTGAGACAGCCCGGACCTCAGAAGCCCAGTGACACCAGAAAAGAAGCTCCCGGGGCGCAAGCACCTCCTGTAATATGCTCGCGCGTTATAGGCACAAACCCGAGCTCTAACTTCACTCTCGCTAATCGCGAAGAAAATAAAGGGCGCAACGCAATGCTCTCTCATGCCTAGCCACGCGTAAATTTCCGGCTCTCCCGCCAGCTAAAACGCGGGATTTGCACCGCAGCCTCTCATCTCCCAGAGCCCAAGCCGGGCGCTACTTGCGGCTTCTCCAATTTCTCCCCTAAGTGCGAAGGAAATAGCCCCTTTTTGCTCTGCGCCTGCGAGGTCGGCGGATATGAGAGCCGTGCCCCGCTGGGGAGGACTGGGCGGGCCGGGGGGCTCCCCGGCGGCGCCTGCAGCGGCGGCTCGTCTGCGAGGGTTAACAGCAGTCCCCGCGGCCGGGTGGGTGCCGAGGCTTCCTCTCGCCGGCCCGGGAACGTGGATACTGCGCCCGCAGGATGTTCGCCGGCTGGGCCGGGCAGTCAAGAAACATGAGAAGGCCTCGGTATTCCCGTTCCCGGGCCGCGCGCGCCCGTCTGGGTAAATAAAGCCGAGACGACGGCGGTGGCTGCGGTGAGCGCGCTGGAGCCCGCGCCGAGAACATGCGGCGGGGATGGGAGTGCGCCTAGCCTCGACGCGGGAGAGCCAGCCGCCCTGCCGCCGGCCGCCGGCCCCACGGCCACAGGTACAGCCCTGCTCCGGGCCGCGGGACGTGAGGCTCGCTCTGGCTCCCGAGCTGCTGGTTCCCCCCTGCCCCCCGCGCCTCCGTTCTCCCCGCCCTTCCCCCACCCCCCTCCGAGGTCCAGTGGGCACTCGCCCTGGTGGTGGCCGAGGCTGGCCCGAGGGTCTGCGAGGAGCCTGGGAGCCCACCTGGCCGCTTTCTCCTTGGCTAAATTGTTCGCGGGCGTTGGGCGGGGTAGTTCCACAGGGAGGGGATCTCCCCAAGCGACAGTTTGGAGTGAGTCAGGGTAAGGGTAAGTGGGGAGTACAGGAGCAGAGAAGAGGCGCTGGGGACTGCGCTTGGGCCGCGGGTGAGGGCCAGGAACCGCGCTTCACACGCCCCCCCCCCGAACCCCTCCGGTCAGGACCCAGCTCTCGGACCTTTGCAGCCCCCTCCCACCTCGCCAGCTGCCTGCAGACGCAGACCGCGACGGGTGTCTGTGGTTGAGATCTCTGTGTGGGCTTGGGACAGCCGGGAAGGGTCCGGTATGGCAAACCTTTCGGCGGAGTCGCTAAGAAAAACTCGCCGTTGAATACGGGAGGACAGGACTGGGGTGGGGAAACACTGTGGGACTGGAAAAGGGTGTGTTTTACAAATAACGCAGCATGAACGCAAAGCACTAAGCGCACTGATTTAAAAAGAAAAATCAAAACAAAACAAAACCAAGGTTAGTCCTGACCTTAGAACAGGGGCTTCGAGCACGGAAATTTGCTTTGACACTTTTCGCCGAGGCTGTGTGCACACTCCAGACACGTACCTGTCTGCGTGGGAAGACTCAGCCTTACAGTACATGGGGCAGCCAGCGGAAGTCTGACTTCACCTCCCCACGAATACTGACGGTAGCCGTCGCTTAATCGCTATGGTCACGGCCCTAAATGTCGCGCGTGGCCGCTGCTGCGGTGGCTGAAGGGCGGGGCAGGGGGCGTTGGCAAGTGTGGGCGCACTTCGAGGCAGAAGATCTGTACGTGTTGGTGTGGCAGCCCACGCCTGGGCGGGGCGGGGTGAGCGGACGCTGGCAGCAGTGCCGAGGCGGCTGGGAAGAAACAGGAGCTACCCCGAGGCGCGAGGCGGGGTGATGGGGGCGGTAACTCCACTGCTCGGCGGCGGCGCGGACTTGAACCTGAGGCCCGCGCTCTGCGGCCAGAGGCTCCCGGCCGCCGCGACCCGGGAGGTGAGCTGAAAGCTTTCTTTAACCATAGCAGCCGCAGGCTCCGTGGTGCGCGGACCGCGATGCCTCCTTCCGCTCCTAACACCTATGCAACCTCACATGGTTCCCCGAGACCCGAAAAAGGGGCGGGTGAGAAAGGGCTCAGAGCTCGAGGCTCAGACCCGCGCTGCGGAAGAGGACAGCACTGACATTGGGCTCCGGAATGCCCGGGACTCCGGCGCCTTTGACCTGACGGGACCCTGCGCATCCTGGAGCGGGCTGGGGGATGGGAGGAAGACTCCGGGGGAGGGAGACAATGTGGTGCATTTGTCCCTGACGCCACTTAACTTTCTAGCCCCGGAGTCAGCTAACTTTCCCTGCCCTCACCCCTACCCCGAGGGACCTTAACCGGAATTAGAACACAGGGGTTTCAGCCAAACCATCCAGGATCTAGAAAACATGAAAATCCCCGGAATCCCGGTGTGGCCTGGGACTCATTAACCGGGACTTGCAGATGCAGTTGTTCATATTACCCAAAAATTTCCCTTCCTTCCAACCTCTCCTTAAAACCCGAGTGGGAGCTCCGAGATGCTTTAGACTTCCGTTGTGACTGAAGAGCAACCCCCCCCTCCTCCGCGCGCGCGCGTGCTATCCCGCTCCGCTAACCCGAGTGCAGTTCTTCCAGATTAAAACCAAGAAAAGAACTCGTTTAGGAATTACTTTCCTTTGCCTACGCAGGTAAATTATTCCTGGTTGAGGTTCCTTGGGAACTTGATCGCCAGGGCAAGGAGGAGGGTAGGGACCTGTCCCGGGAGCGTGCGGGGAGTTGGGGGGAGGGAGGAAGCGGTGTAGCCAGGTGGGAAGAGGCAAGGGGTCCCTTGTCCAGGTGCGGCGGCGCCGCTCCTCCCCTCGGCTCCCCGGCCCAGAGCGTCGGCCAAGCCCGGGGCTCAGGACGCATAGGGATGTGAGCACTGAGCGAGTAACGTGATGCATCTTTTTCTCCTAGAACCCGAGCCCTGCGGAGCTTCCGGCGGCGAGGCCTCGAGGCCCTGCGGCCGCGGGGCGAGCCCCAGCCAGTCGGCACCATGAACACCATCGTCTTCAACAAGCTCAGCGGCGCCGTGCTTTTTGAGGACCGCGGTGTTCCGGAACGGGAACGAGGCAACCGCCCCTATGGTGGCGTCCTGGACAGCACCCACGCCCGCCCTGATGTGGGCATTCCGGACGGCCCGCCCCTCAAGGACAACCTCGGCCTGAGACACCGGAGAACTGGGTACGCTCACGCTCCCGGGACCCCTGCCCCCCCTGCAGCCCGGAGGGGTGGGAGCGGTGAGCGGCGCGGGCGTGCGGGTGGCAGCCGGCGCCCGTGGATTAGGGGCCCAGAGTTCCCGGGAGGGCAGGTCTCGCGCATTGTCCTTTTAAGGCATTAGTTTCTCAGAATATTGGGGAATCGGTTCATCAGGATAGCTCCGAAGAGGCTTGTTGGAAACTGAGGACACCTGGAACGGCCCTTCAGTCCCCTGATATCTGGACCTCGAGGTAGGGGGCTACCTGCCCCTCTCCGGACCACGGGTGCAGACGCGCGGCTGAGAGCGAGGCGGAGAGGTCTGAGCGGGATGCCTAGGAACAGGGCAGGGCCAAGCAGTCGGGGCTTCCCCTCTTATGTCACGACAGGGCCTCGCCACGGCCTCGAAGCTCGCCCCGCCTCGGCCAAGGTGTTGGCAAGGTCGGCTCTCCGCAGGGCGCCCCGGACGCGCGCGCGCGCGGCTCGGCGGGGCCCGCTGCGAGCCCGGAGGGGGAGGCCGCGGGCCTGCCGGGCCGGGTTTCGGTCTAGCGGGGTGAGGGGCTGCTGGGGAGCGAGAACTCGCGGGTGGGCCAGCAACTGCGGCTGCAGAGGCGTGGCGGGGGCTCCCTGAGCGCCCTGCGGGGGGAGGGGCAGCCGTCCTGGCCGTCTCCACCTGAAAGATTGCATCAGCTGCTTGTTCTGCGGCGTTGTTGGTTAGGAAAATAGAGATTAGGTTTCGTCAAAATGTTACTACCAGTTCTTTCGGATGGAGTTGCATTTCAAAGTGTTTAAAGAGGCAAAAGTCCTGGAGGCTGCGGCGCAGGCGCGCGAGCCTCCCCGAGCGGTGGGGCGGGCCGGCGGCCGCGCGGCGACACCTCCCGGAGCCGCGGGGGAGCGCAGCGCCTAGCATCCGGCTCCAGGCTGCTTCGGCCCCTTCCCCCTTTGAATGTGCTTTTCCTCACGGACGGAGTTTTCCATACTTTTAAAACTCTCCCTTCAGTCGGGAAAAGGCCCCTAGAGTGGTGTTTTGTTGTTGTTGTTGTTGTTGTTGTTGTTTTTTAAGGTTCTGCGTCCTTCCTCCACAAACACTTGCTTGGAAAGTTTCCCCTTTTTCCAGAGGATCAAAGGAAAGAACCAGGGCGGCGGGACGGCCATCATCCCTTGCCTTATTCCCGCCGTCCAGTGGGCGACCCTTCCCTTGACCACGGGCAACGGGAAGCCCCGAGCTGCAGGCATGAGTTCCCCTAGAGCTGGCAGCAGCCTGACCCGGCCCACGAAGCCAGAGCCACTCCAGGGCGCCGGCGCAGGCGGGCGAGGAGAGGGCGACAGCCCTGCTGCGCAGATCTATAGCCTGAATAACAAATTCCCTCGAATCATTTCACCAGCGTCACCTAAACCTCTAACCCCTGGCTACTCACTCCAAGCTAGCCCCCCTTTCAAAATAAACTTAGTGTCGGTCACCGCCACATGACCCCCTGCGACAACCAGGCCATTTCAAAGAGAGACGCCCAGGGAAGGGTATTCGCGCCCAGAAGTCGTGTTGCCCCCTTCCCTGCCTCACCTCAGCCTGGGGGCGCGGGGCGGGCGCGTGGGTCCGAGCCGGACGCCCTGCAGAGCGGGACGCGGGCGCGGCGGCCGTTCTCCGGGGGCGCGGGGCTGCGGGCGCAAACGTGTCCAGCCGTGGGGGGGTTCTGGGGGCAGCGGCCAGGCGGCGCCGCTCACCCGGGCCTCCGCCTTCTCTCCCGGTGTCCAGGGCCAGGCAGAATGGCGGGAAGGTGAGGCACAAGCGGCAGGCTCTGCAAGACATGGCGCGGCCCCTCAAGCAGTGGCTTTACAAGCACCGTGACAACCCGTACCCCACCAAGACCGAGAAGATCCTCTTGGCGCTCGGCTCGCAGATGACGCTGGTGCAGGTAACCGCGGCGGAGGAGCCGGTCCGCGTGGTGTGTGCGCGAATCTCCACCTGGCGCCTCCCGCTGGGGAAGGATGGGGTTGGTCGAGGCCGGTCCTGGTGCTCTGGCTCCTGCCTCAGAGGATGCTGAGGGCTTGTAGGAAGTTTCTGGGTTTCCTCTCAATCTTATCTATCAATTCAGCGCTCATGCTCGGTTCAGGAGGGACTGCACGGTGTTTTGTTAGGGAGGGCAGTGAAAAGTCAACTGCGAGTCCCGAAAAGGTGTCTGGGACTCTGGACTCGTGTGCCCTATATTGATGGGTACAGATGGGACTCCTTGCAGTGATTGTCAAATTTGAGTGTGCATCACAATAGCCTGGAGGACTTGTTCAAAGTCACATTGCTGGGCCCCACACCGGAGTTTCTGATTCAGTCGTAGGTTTGGGGTGGGGTCAATAATTTGCATTTCTAACAAGTTCTCAGGATGATACCGAAGCTGCTGGCCCTCGATGAAACTTTGAGAACGATGCAGAAAGGCACTCAATATTAGGTACCTGTATTAAAGATCAAGTACAGGATAACTTAAAAATTACCTTTACTGACAAAGCTAGGACATAGGGTGAAAGGGCAAGAAGTGGGTTTTGATTTTTTTTATCTTTATTTTTTAATAAGAGGCATCCTGAGCATTAGCTAGAATCCACAGAATATTGCTGCTGGTATTTTTTCTACTGGGTCTAAGAAGAGGCCAATTTCAAGTGGTTAGTTTATTTTGTCAAGTGCAGAGAAAGGGTGCAAGTTTGTTTCTTCTCTAGTGAACAAACTCCTTTATATTTGACTAGCTTTTTCCCTACATAGTCTTACTTGGTATTCACAAAAATGGGGTGAGGTAAAGCAATAATAAGCGTTTTACAGATGATGTGACCAAGGCACTGTGGCAGTTAAGTATTAGTATGGGGTAGAGGTAGGCCTGGAAATAATGTAATCCCAGATCAAATGCTGTTTCCAACACACCACAGACTTCTTTAATAAACTTGATGACATGAACTTTTATACATGCAAACAACAAATTTATTCAGAAGGAGGAGGAGGAGCTAAATAAGCTGAGAAGTTTCATATATTATAGTAGCACTACATTACTGCATTTGTGAAGTTTTGGTCATTCCATTAAATTTATAATGAGAGAGGCCCCAAATGAAAGATAATATTTAACTACTGGATAAAATAAAAGCTGCTTTCCAGAGTATTTAAGGTTGAAATTTTAGGAATTGCTGGAAAGTTTGACAAAGCATGAAAGTTGACTTGTATTCAAGCTTATTAAAACTATAATATGCATTTGTCTGCTTATATTCAGAATATAATTGTAGAGAAAAACATCTGTTTTGCTTCATGTTAACAGGCAATAGTATTAATAGTGATTTGCTGCAGCACTGAAGGGGAAAATTTATTTAGTGTTCTTGGCTTAATATCTGTTTAACATAAAACTATGAATTTTCAGTGATTCCAGTCAGAAAAACCTGACTTGTGAAAATAAATGCATATGTTCAAATTTCAGTTTAAAAAGGTATGCTATTTATTTTGAAAATACACTATTTTATAGAGCTATTTGAATGTTTCATAGTGATGTCAGCAATAAAACATTAGACTAATTCTGGTATATCATACAGTTTCATACTTAATGCTTGTCATTCTTTCATACAGAAAACAAAAAATATGACATATTTAGAACATTTTTTAATTATGAAAAGTAACATTGTCATTAGTAGAGACATTTAAATTTTTGTGTACAGTAGTTTTGTTGAGATGCAATACAAGTAGTTGTAATTTTAATACAGAACCAAATTATTTCCTACCTGTAATGATAGTTCAAATACAAATTATTTCCTACCTGTAATGATAGTTCAAATACAAATAACCATTCTTTTTGCATTAAGATCTTGGTAATGCTATTATGATTTTCTAACTATATCTTATATTCTCATCATGCTTTCTTTTTCTTACACTAGTCCTCAGAAAATAAAAATGCACAGAATTATTTAATTTTTAAGTGGAGTAATAATTATTTATAATTATAAGATACCTGCTTAATGATTTCCAAATTTTTATAATAAATGAGGTTGGTTTCTGGAACGTTGTAGTGATAAATGGAAAAAATCAAATGTATAGAATAGCCAAGGGACCTTTCAACATAGTAATCCAGTTTGGCTCTGCTTATTTTCAATTAAGCATAATAGGATATCTGTGTAAGAATAACATATATACATATATATGTGTATGTGTATATATGTATGCATACATATCTATTTACAGCTAACCCTTGAACAACACAGGGTTAGAGGTGCTAACCCTCCCTGCAAGTCAAAAATCCACATATAACTTTGACTTCCCAAAGACATAACTACTAATAGCCTATTGTTGACTAGAAGCCTCACCAGTAACGTGAACAATTAACACGTATTTTGTATATTATATGTATTATATACTGTACTTTTACAATAAAGCAAGCTAGAGAAATGAAAATGTTATTAAGAAAATTATAAGGAAGAGAAAATACATTTACAGTATTGTACTGTATTTGGTGAAAAAAGTCCAAGTATAAATGGTCCTGTGAGGTTTAAACCTGTGTTGTTCGAGAGTCAGCTGCACTTATGTTGACATATATGTGAGAGTTCGTGAAAGTCAGACATACATTAAACATCCAAGCAAATTCTGACTGTATGGGAACCAAATAAATTATGTAAATACTTTACACTTCTGAAGGAAAAAATATAAAGCTATGAACTGAATAAAACTTTTGATCCCTGCAAATTAGACCCCTATTGAATGAGTCAAGTTCTCCCAGTGAATAAATTCTCTTGTGGAGTCAGCTTCTTGAGAAGAGCGATCATGTCTTTGTCATCTTCACACCTTCATATCATTCCAGCACCGTACATGTTTACAGAGTGACTAAGCTCTAATTGGGGAAAACCATTATAATCACCATGCAGCTTTCCAAAACACCATTCTGAAAACTAGACAATGTCTTGAAATCTGAGATATTCTAGTTTTAAAATCCATTCCATTGAATACACAGAGGGCAGCGCATTATCCTTAATGCTATAAGATGGTTCTATAGAACAGCATGAATATAACTCATTATCTTTAGTATAGCTGGAAATATGTCATATTTTTATGTCTGTGGACAAATACGGAGTGTTCCCCTTATTTCTGGTTCTAAAGTCCTATTTCCGGTTTTTTTCAGTACCTCCTATCTCTATTTCCCATGACTGATGTTAATAAGTGGTTAACATAACTTTTATTCCCTAACTATGAGAGTATCTTGTATTTTGAGAATTTCTTTTACACTTAACATTTTCTTTTTGACTGTGTGTCAAGCTGTTAAACTTTTCATAAAATGTACTTTTGCCTTGTTTTGTTACTCTTAAAATGATAAAGAAGGACATAAAACCTGATCAGCAATCTCCACTAAATCTAGAAGGAAGGAACTGAAACTTTAGTGGAGGAAATATTTTTAGGACCACAAAAGGTACTTTTTCTGATAAATAGAGGTTCTAAGGATATTAATCCGCACCTGCATTGTATTTGTCCCTGAAAAATGAGGCAGAAAGAGTTATTTATTGTTAATCTGGCATCTTACTTCCTAATGAGATATAAACATTTTCATAAAATTAACAGGTAATGATGTGTGTGGGTATACTTTAGCCAACCAAAATATTCCATTGTGCTTAATTTCTATGGCTAACCATTGCTTAAATATTATAAAAAATATACTCTGTATTATCAAAATGTGAAGAGCTTTATTGTGGAATAACATAAAGTGGTATGCAATTGGGATTTTGTATTATTGTAGGATATAGAGCTTACTGCAGAATAATTGCCTTGGAAGAAGTTTTTCAGAGAAGGGCAGATGGGTGCTATATCTGGTTTCGGTGATCCCCATTGTTCATGTGTATATAATTTTAATATATTTATATTTTTTCTGGATTATAAAGAGTGAAGTGTCTCCTTGGGATGATTTCTTTCATGGTCACAATGCAGAGTGCAATGCACGTAGAGTTTGAGATTACATTTAATGATTGGATGTTGATGCTTCCTTTACTTATAGAAGTTTCACATTCCTATGATAATGTCCATGTAGAATTGATTAAAACTGCTGTGTTCTAAGATTTTTGCCCTCTCTGTTGACATAGCTCCGTTTTTGCTGGGTGAGTGCTTCTGCTCAGATATGTATGTAGTTATCAACTGCAAGGACTATAGCACCTGTTAAATATTCAACAAAATCTCAGATTGGTCTTTATTCCAAGTGTTATACTACATCATGTAGAAATGAGGTTCTCAATACTTCAGTTGATTAACTCAGAATAAGTTTGTTAATTCAGTATGTTCAAAGGTGGACAGATGCTAGCTTATCCCTTTGGGCTTACTATAATGATTGCTATGTCAGTATGATGAATGTAAACACCTCGGTTAGAGTAGGGATGAAAATTACTTAGTTTTCTCTTCCAAATTCTAAGATATTTGCTTCTCCAACTTTTCACTGTAAAATACAGTGTCTCTTAAACTCTGAGTTTGACATCAAAATGCTGTTGCAGAACCTATCCTTGGTAAGGAGGCCTGTTTCATGCGAAATAGAATTTAATGAGATTTGCATGACAACCTGAAAGAATCCATAGTAAGTTAAAGGTAGAAAATCCAAACTGGTATCTTTAACCTTCTGTGAAACAAACAGATCGAGTTTGCATTATTTCATCAGGACAAAAAAATTTGCAGAACAGTACTTATGCAAATTTGTTAACCAACTGTTTGCTGTTTACATGACGGAACACAAGCAGATTATTAAACACCTTGGACTATATCCAGCCCTTAAATTGTATGGTAAATTTCTGGTGATAAAATACTGGCAGAGTAAATATATTAGCAGATTGCTTGCCAGTCAAACTTAGGAAATCAGGTTAGAGACAGTCCATATTAGATATCAGCAAACCTTTCTGGAAAATTTTCTAATTTGTGATTAATATATTATGGTAAGAACTGAGTATATAAAACACAAAAAAGGATATGACCCCTGCATATGAAAACCTGTAATCTCACCATGACATTTAAAGGTCCCCATTTTTGTATGTTAGAATTATAGTGTGTTAGTGTTTTTGGAAATTAGAAGGCTATTGCATTTAAAAAAAATATGAAGAGTTGCTTAAGAATTGGATTTTATACTGTATTATGTGATGGTTGTGCTGAAGTTTAAGCTTAGTTATGATTTAAGGATACTCTAAATTATATGATATTTAGTAAAGAAAGTAGTAAAACCGTTTTGAAGTATTCTAATAAATATAAGTGATGTGTAGGCATAGGAGAAGTTGCAATTTGTCCTCTGCATGTCAGGGGACATAAACACACATGTCTGATTGCTCGAAAGGGTGGTGGTCAAGAGCAGAAGGTAGGTTAGCACCAGCTATAAAGGGAATAAATTAACACTTTTGTAGGAGAGCATAGACTATATTCACAGATCTTAGTTTTTAGAATTGGTAAGTGTTAGGCACCATCTAATGCATTTTATAGATGAAAGGCTTAAAGTTCAGAAAATTTGAGTGACTTCTCTAAATTCACACATGTTTTTGGCAAATTGAGAACAGAAAACCAGATTTCTTTCCATTATAACACAGTTATAGGACAATAGGACCTTAATGAGAATTTGAAGAAGTTAAGCAATTAAATTATCATGGTGCATCAACACTTGAATTTGAAGGTGGTGTTTAAGATTCATCCAAGTGCATAGAATGGAAGATAGGGAAGTTCAGAAAAAGAATGTTCTAAAATTCCCAGTTACTACTATCCAAGGCATGGATGAATATTTTGGCCATGACTTGGAGAATAGAGGGAGGTTTGAGGACTGGACCAGGCATTTCGTGCTTCCAAGTGAATGTTCACCCATGTATCACAGTTAATACATAGTTCTATGCTAATCCTTCCCTGTGTGCAGGGACAAAGTTTATCCTAATACTTAAAAATTTCTATCACTGACCACCATGGCTAAAGCACAAGAGCTACTCAATGTGTATTTATTGAATGAATAGTCCCAGAAGTTGTTTGTCTATAGAGGTTGGAGAAGACTTATAATTTGAAGCCAGATTAAATCATAGTTATTATAGCGGAACTTGATAGGAAGAAGATTAGTAGACTAAGACTTCTGGAATGCCATGGTGAGTTATTACATCAATGCACATAAATTTAAAAGGACAGTTATTACTTAAGACACAAAGGAGGTAATAATACTGAATATATATATTATATATGATATATTTTCTGTATACATATATGTGTGTATGTGTATGTGTGTGTATAAATTGGGGAAAACTACCATGTTTTAAAAAAAAACCCATGGAGGCAAAGAGGAAAAGAATTGTGGTTTTGTTTTCTTAAAAAGTAGGATTCACCCTAGGTCCATTCAATAATTAGGTCTTGAGAAATGTGTAAAAATTGTGTATTTATATTATAAATCTAAAAAAAAGAAAAAAGAAATTTCCAATGCAAGCTTTGCCACATAAACCATTACAGTAATATGGAATCATGTTCTAGAATAAATTGGCAGAAAGATGTAATTCTCTTTCCACATTTCATTCTTTTAAAAGCAAATATTGGCCCCTCGGGTTATTTACATATTTTTTTTCTGATGATAGCCTGATATTTTAAAGGAAATCTCAAGCACCATTTTAACTTCTGGAAATCCAATAGCATCTTTTAAAAACAATGGAAGTAACTTCCCTTTGTTCTGCAGTGTTTGTTTGTTTGCCTTCACCTATTTGCTTTTGGAAGCACTTGACTTGGCAACTTAAAGCTGGGTGTTACTGGCATTTTTCTCCCTCTGCTTGTCTGATTACTCTATGTCTGATTGTTCTGCTAGCTCCTCTTTTATAGTCCTGCCTCTTTGATGTCTGGAGGTTTCCAGAGTTTGGTCTTCAATCATCTTTCTTTCTACCTACTCAAAACTGCTGCTGTCACCTCTGTGTGTTTGACCCACATCTGCTCTTCCTCTCCCTGAGTCTCGGATATCAGTTTTATTTTCTTGCTGCACATCTCACCAATATGCTTTTCTAGTACCTCAAACTAATCATTCCCCAAACCAAGTACATCCCTTAAACAGTTTTACTTTCTTTCTCCAAATGGCACTATCCTCTTGGTTACGCAGGGATGACTCAAGGTCATCTTTAACTTTTCCCTCTTCCTCACTCACCACGGTGTCTCTGGAATTTGACTCATATTTGTTCCCATGTCCTCTTTACTGGGAACACACTTCCCTACCCGTTATACCTTGACACATTCCGTCAACGCTTCACTTAATTCCTCATGAAGTCTTGAAAGTAACCCCTTCTTCCTTTGGACTCCTGCATCGTATTATTTTAATGCCTCCTAAGCCATTCATCACATTGTTTCCTATGTTAAAGTTATTTGTACACTCTCCTACCTCTCTTACTAGCCTGAGCATTTAATGGCAAAGGATGTTCTTTTTTTTTCATTCCCAGAATACAGTATGTGCTCAGTCTCTGTAGTAAGTGCTCAGCATGTTTGTTGAATGAATGAGTGAATGAATGGAATGAATGTCTAGTACTATTACATTCTGAGACTATTTAATGATCAAAGATACTGAGAGAGGCGTAGGTCCCTTGTGGGAAAGTAATTATGTGATGGGTAATATTTTATGTTTTGTTAATTGAAAAATAAAACTTTTATAGGTGTCAAATTGGTTTGCTAATGCAAGACGTCGGCTTAAGAATACTGTTCGACAGCCAGATTTAAGCTGGGCTTTAAGAATAAAATTGTACAACAAGTATGTTCAAGGAAATGCTGAGCGGCTTAGTGTAAGCAGCGATGATTCATGTTCTGAAGGTTGGTTAATATTTTTTTTTTGCTTTACCTCTGTTAATAAGAAGTTCACCCCGACTGCTATTTTTAAGGTTGACCCCACAAAACATGATGGTGCCATAATGGTTCTTTTTTAGTGCATGAGGTAACTTCACTTTTACAATACTATAAATGACCAACAGAATTATGGCTGTTTCCTCTTATTTATAGATTTATCATGTGTCGGAATAACATTTCCTGTGAAATTCATTAAAATTAAAGTACCATAGGGAGAGATTACGTAGATTCCTGCTTCCCTTGCCTAAAAATTAATCTTGAGTATCAAAGATAATTTTATACACTCTAAATATTCTGTCTTTATATATATATTTAATGATTAACTATAACAGTTTGGTGGCTGGGGAAAAGTATATTAAGTACTACCTACTGATATTTTTCTCCCTTAGATGGAGAAAATCCTCCAAGAAACCACATAAATGAAGGGGGCTATAATAATCCAGTTCACCATCCTGTGATTAAAAGTGAAAGCTCAGTCATAAAAGCTGGAGTGATCAGGCCAGAGTCACGGGCCAGTGAGGACTACGTATCACCCCCCAAATACAAGAGCAGCTTATTGAATCGTTACCTTAACGACTCTTTGAGACATGTCATGGCCACAAACGCTGCCATGATGGGAAAGACAAGGCAAAGAAACCATTCGGGATCTTTTAGTTCCAATGAATTTGAGGAAGAATTGGTGTCTCCCTCATCATCAGAAACCGAAGGCAACTTTGTCTATCGTACAGGTAAGTCTGTGCTTCTCATGATACCTTGTCTAAAACAGAACTAGAAACTGCAGCAAGGGGTCTATTTCAACAGGTATAAAGTCATAATTTTTATTGGTTTTGTATGAAATTAGTCACATATAGCCCATAATTTAATTTGAAAGCTTTTGCTTTTGATAACCAGATATGCTTGTTAATAGGTGATGGTCTACTGGGGATTTTCACCCTTAATAATAAAGATGAGAATTTTCATTCTTAATACTCATTTTTAATCTCAGTGATATACATTCTTGGAGGAGGAATGCCCTGAATTATAGGCAGTCATGCAAACACTTTGTATTTCATCTTTTCTCTTAAATTCTTTGATTGCTAATAGTGGTGGAAAATGAACACAAATTAGCATGGGTGCCAAGACTTGTGAAGGGAAAGTGTAGGTCTGGCTTAAATTGCTTTGGAAATTTTACTTTTATTCCTGGAAAGCACAAATCGGGCTGATAAATAGCTTTGAAAGTTTTACTTTTATTCCAAAAATAATAAATCGATTTCTGCCTGTCCAAAACTTTCTGATGGAGTAGTGAGTTTGGTAAAAATTTCTCTCTTCACTTCAGTTTCCAGAGAGTTTTGCTCGTAAAGAGTGTTTGAGCAAGTTACTTCAGAACAAAGGATATGTGTGACCTACATCTGGTGTAGATAGAGTCCACGTTCTGAAAATGCCAACAAATGAGATTTAGAAATGTTAGAGTTGGAAATAACTTCAGAAAGCATCTAGTCCAGCCATGTTATATCATAGGTAAGAAAACCCAGACCAAGAACACATAACTAGTTACTCTTCCTGGATCAGTAGTACAGCTTAGCCTGCATAAGGGGTAGGAGGAATGTAACTAATAGCAGACTATGATGACTCTTAATTATTACATATACCGCCACCACTCGTTTATTCAGTAGTTATGATATGCTAGGCCCTCTACTAAATACTACACAAACAATACTGCATGTAGTCCTTGTAAGGAGCTTAATATGTGAATAGTAGGGCTTTATAAAAGAATTTAAATTTGGTCTGTTTAATATACCTTTCAGATTATTTAACTAGAAATCTTCTTTTCAAGTGTCTACAAATGTGTACAAGATATATTATCTGTGAGGATTCAGAGAAAATCTCAATACAGTTTTAAAGACTTAACCTCATTTTCTGTTTGCATCTCCAACTTCAAGAATGAAAACAACTCCAAACGCTCTGAGATACAAAATAAGTCTTGTAAATAATAATTGGGTCTAGGAAGAAGTAAAAGATGAAATAAAAGACTATTTAGCTAATAACAAAAATTTTAAAACTACATACTAACTTCTAGCTAATGTGACCAGAGCAGAACTTGGAGATAAATCAGAGCTTCATGAATTTTATTTACGGAGATAAGAAAGGATAGGAAATCAAGTCATGAATTTTATTTACGGAGATAAGAAAGGATAGGAAATCAAGTCACTCAAGTACAGATAATTGAAAAAAGAATAAAATAAAACAAAAATGTTAAAATGGAAAGCTGCAAAATAAAAAGTTGACTCTTTGAAAGCAATACTAAAAAAAATAAGCAAAAATTGGCACAGATTAAAGTTGGAAGTGAGAAAGGAGATATAGCAATCAATACATAGTCATTAAAAATAGTTTTTAAAATTATGGTGTACTATGCACAGTTGTTTGACAATATACTATATGCAAATGTGTAGATGAAATGAATTGGTATTATCCACACAAATTAAATTATAAAATTATAATGAGAAGAGTTGTAAATACCACTAATTCAGGAAAAGTCAAGGTTTTTAGTAAACCCCATTCCCAAAACACATGCTTTGATAGAGTCATTGGATTTTTTTCCAAACTTTGAAGAAATAATTAATTCTCATGCTTTATGCATTTTTCTGGAACATGTAAAAATATGGGAAGTATGTCAATTTTTAAAAATGTAAATGATATCCTAATCTAAAACCAGATTAGAATAGCATAAAAATCAACATTTTTATTAATGATACTGATGCGGACTTTGAAGCAACATGAGAAATATTGATAACATAAGGTTAAGTGAAAAACAGTTTAAAATTGTGGAAACACTGAATGCAGTTATGACAGTACAAGTATGTATAGATAAAAAACAAGGAAGATTTTTGGAAACAATGAAAATTAATTTTGAATAGGTGGGATAATTGAAGGTCTATTATTTTTTAAAATTTCCTATAAATTTATTTATGCTGCCCAGTAAAAACTAACTTGAAATTTACCTGGTGTGATGAGTCTTCTGAAAATGCATGCTCTTTTCAAAGGTGATAAAATAGAAAACCAAAGAGGGAATAGCATGCCTATATAGTTGATGCTTCTCAAAGTATCTTGGCCATTTATTTTTATTAAAGTATCCAATGGCCTATTCTTTTGCCAAGTTCTATTTTTAAATAAAAACCTATTTTTTAGTTATGCAAGCAATGAGAAAGCAGCCTAGACACGTAAACTTCTGGTTTTGCATGCATGTGTCTAAACTTTAAAAAGAACAGAATACATTTTTTTGGTTTTGTGGATAGAGAATTGAGAAAGACTGGTGGTCTAAGACTGGTCTGCTAAATCTTAGCCTGAAACAATAAATGGCTGTCTTCTGGAGGAACTGAGCGACAATGTTGCTGCAGTTTACCACTCATGCATAAATAGTAGAACGGGATTTCAATAAATACTTTCTGAGCAACTGCTATGGTTTTCTCTGGCATGCAGGCTTCTGCTGAATTCCTTCAGTTCCTTCTGGTTATATCTTTCTTTCTTCACCTAAATAGAAATCCTCTAAATCTGCTATTAAATACCACTCCCCTCCCCCATCCCAGTTTTGTAGTAGTGCAAAGATTTCATCTTTTAAATTATTTTTCAAGACTAGATTGCCTTTAAACACTTTTTTATTTTTTATTTATTAGTTTTATTTATTAGTTCATCTATGCTAAAAACAACTGTATCCATTTTTCCACCCATTTTTGCTATCTTATGATGCATTTCATTAATGATATGGAATCAAAAAGCCATATGAAAGAGTTGGCGTGTGGAAAGATAATGTATCACTGAATTTTATTTCACTTGTTAAATTCTAGGAGGGCAAAGCTTGCTGGATTATGATGTAGTAATCCTAATTGAACCATATAGACGATAGAACTCTTTTCTATGTTAGTGTGAATTAATCAGATTAGCTTCCTCTCCACTTGACTAACAATATCAAAGTTGATACAAACACGTTCTTATTGATTTTATGTAGACATTAAATATTTCTCTGTAACCTTCAGTCTCCCCATCGTGCAAAAAGGAAAAAAAAAATCTCTCTCTTCAGGGGGCATGCTAGGCTTTCAATAAATATTGGCTAAAGCATTTCTGACAGCAGAAATTATAATATTAGAATTGAATAGAATTTTTTTAAAGATTTTATTTATTTATTTGACAGAAAAAGACACAGCGAGAGAGGGAACACAAGCAGGGGGAGTGGGAGAGGGAGAAGCAGGCTTCCCGCGGAGCAGGGAGCCCGATGTGGGGCTCGATCCCAGGACCCCGGGATCATGACCTGAGCCGAACGCAGACACTTAACAACTGAGCCACCCAGGCGCCCCTAGAATTGATTAGAATTTTTAAGGTTATTGCTTCTAAATACAATTAAATAATACTCGAGAAAAGTTAGTCACTCAGTGTTGTCTGTTGAATTAAGCTGTCTAATTTAAAATTACAGTACTTTTCATTGGTTAATGGATGACAATTTTCAGATGTTTGATGGAGCGAATTACCATTACAAACCGACCTCAAGTCCTCTAGTCCTTAGGTGGGTCTGCTCTCTGAGGTATCACAATGAGGACTCTGGCTTTAATATCCACGGCCATTTCTATTGAATCAGTACTGATATTCTCCAGATGGGACCATCCGTGAAGGAGCCATCTGCCGTCTGGGCCACCTTACAGAGTGTGTCCTCACTGGAGCCTTTCCTAACTTGCATTCAAGTTTGATTTACCCTCAAAAGCCTATCAAATTTCCTTCTTTACCAAAGGAGAGAGAGGAGGTTTTTAAGAGGTGTATTGACGAGGGGAAAATCAGGCTAGTCTTGAAATAAAACGTGTGGACTTCCCCTCCTTCTTTTGCTTGGCTTGAGGACAAGTCCCTGTTATGTTCTTTCTTTTTGCAGCTCACAAATGATCAACTTATAAATGGCTAGTACATTCGAATGGTTATTCTCTGAGCCCCACTGCTCTGGTAGTATATAATTCATAAATTTAACCGGCTCCCACAGGCTGAATGTTTAAACTTCATCTTGTTAAACTGTCTAAAATCCCTCTTAATTAGACACATCTGGTGTGGCAAAAACATTTAGGCGGATAGAACTCTTTTCTATGTTAGTGTGAATTAATTAGATTAGCTTCCCCTCCATTTGACTGAGGTGAATATCCCTGAAGAAATGGAGATTTTGATTGAGAGAAGAAAGAAGTCACTTACTTAGTGCATGGAGTTCTTTGGAAGGTAGAGTCCATTTGCATGGCCTGCCACGGTTGGAGCAAAATGACAGAACTAGGGATTTTGGTTACTAATGAAGGAGGAACTAGGAAATAGAAAGTAAGTTTGGGAGGATGCCAGAGGCTAAGTGCCATTTCCAAACATTTTTTCTCTGCTAATGATGCCCCCCAAGAGAAGAGAGATGTTCTTTTTTCTCTCTCTTCCTGCATATGCATGTACTTTAGAATCTAGGCTGGCATTATCAGTGGTAAAACCCAGGTGTGCACATGAGTTCCATAAAACATTGGATTAGCCTGGGATTTAACCTTAATTTATAGCATGACTTCTTTGGAGTAGTGCACTCTCAGTTCTAAAAGCTGACTTCACAGGTACATTTCTGAGATACAGTCCACTCATATATGAGGTACTCTTTCATGCATTTATTCCACATACAGAAATGTTTATTAAGAGCTACTCTACCCAGGCCCTGTTCTAGGCTCACTGGAGCCCTGTGTTTTGTGTTAAGATGCTC